CCCCTGCCCTGGGGGATGCTGCAACCATCCTGTGAAAAGTCACTTTTTTCAGTGCTGTTTTAACTTCAAATGGTCACTAAACAAATACCAATATACAGTATATACAGCATTTTGGATTTCATGCCGACTTAAAAAAGACAGGAGTGAATTGGGGAAGGAGGGCGTGGCAGTGATGAAGAAGTCTCCGATTCCGTTTCCATTGTTTCCAATGAACACGCGTCTGTTGTCTAATGGCTGCTTCCCCCCCCCCCAACTGATCGAGAAACATAGCCTTTCTTTGAAAACGACAGCTTTTAAATATTTTCCAGACCATCTACAGTGTGTGGGGGGGGAGAGTTTACTGCATTCAGGAGACTGCAGACGAGACTCTTGATGTGACTGTTCAGCACAGGAAGATTAGCAGAGTCATGAGCCCAGGAAATTTGAGGAAACAGCTGCAGCAGCACAGATGGGGGAGAGAGAAAGAATTGGAATTCCAAACCAATACTGATCCAAAATCTAAGTAAGGCAAGGTTGCTTTTTTTTTTTAAATGATCTATCACTAATTGTTGCTGCAGCCACAAATTACACTCTAGCACAAAATTATTCATTGTAAGCTCTCCCAAAAACAAAAATTTAAAAAAAAGGAAAAAAATAGCTGGCTTTTATTTAACGATTAGCCCTTCTGGAAATATAAGCTTAAAACAAATGGATCGGCTAAAAAAAATTTCTTATTAGGCCGGGGAAGGATGTATAAAATCAAACAGTGGAGAGACCACACAATCTATTGCACAGGTAGTCCTTGATTTACAACTGGTTACTTAGCAACCGCTTGAAATACCTCCCCAGAGCTACTTACCGTACGACTCGGTTTCGAATTCTGACAGCCGCCCCCTCCATGGTTATGCGTTAACATTTTGAGCAGCTGCCAACCGGCCCACATTTACGACCGTTTGCATCATCCACAGTGCCATCTGCAAGAGTCGTGACGGGTTTCCCCCCCCCCCAGAAACTGGTATTTCCTTCTAGCTTAATGACGGGCACAACTTATGACCTAATTTCATTAATTACAGTTGTAAGTTGAGGACAACCTGGCACTTTCAATTCTAGTAAAGTTTTCGGTGCTCAAAAGGACAGAAAGTGAGAAAGAAAAAGGCACCCAGGAGTATGGCCAATGGACATGTCATTGCTGGGGGGGGGACATCAAAAATAAATAGAAAAGAGACACATGAATAAGCGGAGTATGGGGAAAGCATGAGAGAGTCCAGCTCTGCAGAAGTGTCTCATACTCAAACCCCCCCAAAAATGGGAGAAAGTAATTAAGATAAGGCCATGGCATGTTTATCCTTACTGCAGATTAAATAAAAACATATGAAGAACAGTTGCAGGAATTGGGTATGTCTAGTGCAGTGAAAAAGAAGGACGAGGGGTGACATGATAGCAGCGTTCCAGTATCTCAGGGGCTGCCACAAAGAAGAGGGAGTCAAGCGAGTCTCCAAAGCACCTGAATGAAGGCAGGTCAAGAAGCAACGGGTGGAAACTAATCAAGGAGAGAAGCAACCTAGAACTAAGGAAGAATTTCCTGACAGTGAGAACAGCCCAATCCAACTCAGTTGTTGTAGGGGAAAATGGGAGGAGGAAGTGCGATGTTCAATGCCTTGAGCAACCATAAAATGAATTTTGCCTATCATTCATAAAAGGTTATGTTAGTTATACAATGCCACAGGTCTTACAAAATCGTATTTGGGAAGTGGGTTGCACATGAAATACCAAACCTCTCAACTTAAAGAGCTGTCGCAGAAGATGCACACCAGCCAGCCAGTCTGCCGTGATGAAAAAGGAAGGTGTGCATTCTATTAAGCACTATGCATTGCCCGCACAACTTAGGATTCATCAGAATTCAACTCTGCAATGCAGGCCTACCTGGTGAACACGTATAATTGCCAGGGGTCGATGCCTATTTGAAATGCAAACAAGCCCAAGTAGCTTTAAAAAAAAATGGCCCTTTGTAACTCGAATGCATAGCCCTGTGCCCAGGAAGAAGAAAGATGGTCCATTGGTCCTATGTACTATTTTCTGAAGCTGCACATCTCCTAATCACAGAGAACTTCATGAATTATAAGAGCAAATCTATATTCCTTATAGTCCAAGGAAATTCAAAGTGTGCCCTAAAAATGTTAAAAGCTTCCTAATTAATAATGTGGGCTTCAAAGAGACACCAAAGGCATGCGAGCTGAAACAAACAAGCTCTTGCAGAGACGACTCCTCTCAAAATATTGGAATAAGGACTGTTTATTCCAGCTATCCGAAATTCATCACAATGTACAATGCTTTATGAAGTTCTTCTGCCATAGAAAAAAGCAGAAGGAAAAGGGGGGGGGGAACAACTATCATTTTAGCAATGTAATATAAATGCAAACAGAATAGAATTAGTGGCTTAGCATAATTTGAGATATTCCCATAAAGGGGAATATGCAACACTGAAGCCATTTCAGATAAGATAAAGTAGACGCTGATTGATATATGCTTAAAGTGCCACCATATTGCAAAGGCAATTATGTTTTATTAGCATTTTCTATAGGCTACCCTCAGGTTTATTTTTCTGACAGACTACCTTTTTGGTTTTTCAGGTTTAAGGGGATGGTTTGAGCAAGTGGCTGGCAAGCATGCACAGCTCTATTTCCACAAGCGGCGTGCATGTGCCCCTGCCGCTCACATAAATGGAGTGCACACACGTTTGCCTACTGCTCACAAGTGAAGATGTGCATGTGCATGCATGCTCACCAGCCATTTCCACAGCCCAGTTGCAAACCTCTCATGGGGATTCCTATTTTAAAGGAAAAGCAAAAAATGCTAATAAATTTAAAACAATGGACTATTCTAAAGAAAGGATATTAAAGAATGCCAAAGAAGCAGAAACACCAACCAAAAATACTAAAATATACATGGGAGAGAAAACAAAATACTGTGAAGATAATCTTTATTAGTTCATTTTCTATCACATATTTCCTTGAAATGGTAATATGACATATTGTACATTGTATGAGTGCCTTGATTTCCCCACCCACCCATCCTCAAACTCCCCCCCCCCAAATTCTGAACTTGGTTAAAATGAACAATGACTAGCTCAAAATCACATTCAGAAACTTCAGCTTATAAGGAGGGACTTTTTACTTATCTCCCGAGGCCTATTTTGAAAACTGTAGCAACATTCAGCATACTGTATTCTCTCACAACACACAGAACCATAAGTTAGCCAAACACATTTAAGGCTAATCACTCTACAAATCCAATCTGCATAGTTCATTTATGGATTATTTTACTGTGTTAACCCACAAAACTGGAGTAATTCCATCAGTTATGACTACATTTGTCATGTATCGTATACAGAAATTCTGGCTCTAGAGACTCCACTTCTCCATTATGGGAAAAGAATGCCAAGATGGAAAGGCTTAGCCCAGATCCAGCCTCTTTAATGTTCTTTGAAAAGTGAACATTAAGTAAGTTTATAGGGGCTTGTAGTGTAGCCCTATTCACTAGTCGGATGCTTAGGACTGAAACCTAAGTGAAATCATACACACATTTAGCCAGGAGGAATGATGTCTAACTAGAAAAATTATAAATTCAAAGAATAGTAATTCTTCTATTCTCCCACCTCATTCATGCTTATCCTGAATGAATCGTGCTCTTCAGAATCTCCAGCGAGATCAGTTATCTGATCATTTTAAATTGGAAAAGCCAGATATTAAATTTGGCACCTTCTGCATGTAGAATTACTGTACTGTGGTGCAATAATTAAGGTGCTGGACTAGGAAACCATGATTTTTAGTCCTCCTTTAGGTTTGAAGCTGATGGGTTGACCTTGGGCCAATTTTTCATTCTCAGCCCAACCCATTTCACATGATTTGTTATTGTAGGGAAAAGGAAGTGGGAGCAGGATATACAGTGTCCTGATTTGTTTGTACAAATCAAGGCAACATATAAGCAGAGGTAGCAACAAATAAGAAATTGTTGAAATCCAAGGAGCAGAGGTCTATCAATTACCATATACCTAAAGGTTCTACAACACAAGCCTATGGAGGTCTGCTCAGAAAAGGTTTACTGAATTTAATGGGACCTGCCCCCAGTATAATACTATAATAATCAACAAGAGCAGAACGGCCCTTCCAAGTGGGGGTCCTTTTCTTCGAAATCAGTGCTTCTTAAACTTGGCAACTTTAAGACACGTGGTCTTCAACTCCCAGAATTCCCTAGCTATGCTAGGATGGCTGGGAAATTCTGGAAACTGACATTCACATGTCTTAAAACTTGCCAACTTTGAGAAACGATGTTTTAAACGCTAGTTAGCCAGATGACAAAAGTCAGGGGAAATATTGGTCCAAATAAAACCTCCATTTCCGGGCACCAGGAAGGCCCCCTTCTTGCTTCTGGGTCTCTTAATGGAGACAAGCCTGCGGGGGTCTCAGGCCCCTGCTGGTGGGGTCCCAGCGAAGTTAAAAAGCGAAGCTGCTTGTTCACCAGGCAGGCAAAATCTAACCCACGCCATCTTTTTCCTCCATATGCCTTTCGGACGTCAACTCCCAGAATTCCCTGCACCACTCAGCCATTGGCTTTACCGCATATGGAATTCTGGAAGTTGAAGTCCAAAAGGCTAAAGGAAGCTGCTTGCAGAAAGGGGAAAAATGCACCCCTGGGGGCGCCTGGAGCTACGGCACCGCCTTCCGGGAAAGGCCGGGGGAAGATTATCCAACAAGCTCGCAAAAGAAGCCGCGTGTTCTACCCCGTCACGGCCACACTTACCGTCCCCGCTCGTTTCGCCGGCGGCGCTCTTACGTCGACGGCGCGCCGCTGCCCGTCCCCCGCCACGATTGGTGGAGAGTCCGGCTTCTCCCATCAGCCCTTGCGACGGCGCGCAAAGCTGGCCCCACCCACGCCCTTATGACGCTTGAGAGGGAGGGATGTTGGGGGTGGGGAGAAATGGAGCGCACGAATAATACCAAATAAAAACGAGTCTGGCTTACGTGAGAAATGCTTGCTTTTCTTTCGTCCTTTCTTTCCTTTGTGTGGATCCGCGTTCTTTCCCGGCGTGTGGGCAGAATGAAATCTGGGTGGCGTTCACGGGACGCCTCCCTAAATCACGACCAGCGAGGCTTCGTTGCTATGGAAACAGAAGGCCCTACAGCTTTCATTCGGTGGCCATGAAAAATCTAGGGGGGGGGAGGGAGCGGGGTGATAACTCATCTCTAACCCATCTGCAAAAAAAGGAAGAATAAAACTCACCATAAAGTCAGGCCATGAAGGCAATCACTGATTTATAGGTAGCCTTCGACATGACAATAATTGGGACCGGCATTTCCATTGCTAAGCGAAGCCATGACCTTTCTTTGGCCATGATTCATGGGTGAATTGTGCAGCCGCGAAGTGAATCACATGGGCTCTTAAGTGCACCCAGCTTCTCTCCTGGGCTTTTGCTTGTTGGAAAGCAGCTGGGAAGGTTGCAAATGGCAACTGCATGACCCTGGGATGTTGCCGCCATCATAAATACATCCCGGTGGACAAGTGCCTGAAAGAATGGGGAAAAAGCCCGATCTTCATAGCAGTATCTAAACAAGACCCAACGAAGGGGTTAGACTAGAAGACCTCCATGATCCCCTTCCTGCCCTATGATTCTTCCCGTTTTCTAACCCCCAGCTGGGGAGGTTGGGGAGAACCTAGGAGAACCCATAAAGACCTAAATGCGCTTTCTTGCTAAGGATGGGCAACTATTTTTGACTTCACTACCTGTGGACTTCAACTCCCAGAATTCCTGAGCTCAGGAATTCTGGGAGTTGAAGTCCACAAGGTCTTCAATCAGGCTCCCAGGTTGGCCAGCCCTAGCGGAGCGCAGCGAGCCCCGCAGACAGGCGGCAAGAGGGCGCCCCAGGGCCGGGCCTAGAAGGCGAGGCGAAGCGAGGCGGGGCGTCGTGCACCGGGTCCTCCCGGGTCGCTGGGAGGCAGGCGAGCGCCCGCCCGCCCGGCCCCGCAGAAGGAAGCGGCGAGGCGCCAAGGCGCAGTCCGACCGCCGGCTCCGCCATGCCCTACGCCAACCAGCCCACGGTGCGCATCACGGAGCTGAGCGACGACAACGTCAAGTTCATCATCGAGAACACCGACCTGGCGTGAGCTGCGGCAACCGGGCGCCCACCTCCCCCTGCCCAGAGCTGGCCCGGGCCCGGGGAGGGGGGGTCTCTGCACGGCCAAGCGGCCCTGGACACGCGGGGCTGTCCCTGCGTGGGGAGATCCAGCCACGGCCAGGGACACGCAGGACTTTCCTTGCCCCATTCCTGCGTGGGGAGATCCAGCCATGGCCAGCAGGTCTGGACAGGAGGATCTTTCCTTCCCCCATCCCTGCATGGGGAGATCCAGCCACGGCCAGCAAGTCTGGACACGAGGATCTTAATAGTAGTAGTAGTAGTAAAGTTGGAAGGGATTTTGGAGGTCATCTAGTCCAACCCCCTGCTCAGACAGGAAACCCTACAGCATTTTGGACAAATGGCTGTCCAGTCTCTTCTTAAAAACTTCCAGTGTTGGAGCATTTACCACTTCTGGAGGCAGGTTGTTCCACTGATTAATTGCTCTCACTGTCAGGAAGTTTCTCCTTAGTTCTAGGTTGCTTCTCTCCTTGATTAAATTTCCACCTGTTGCTTCTTATCCTGCCTTCAGGCGCTTTGGAAAATATTTCCCTTCTCCCCACCCCTGTGGGGAGATTCAGCCAGGGACAAGCTGGTCTGGACATGCAGGTCTTTCGCCCCCAACACCCCTGCGTGGGTATATACAGCCACGGGCAGTTGGTCTGGACACATGGGTCTTTCCCCCCCCCCGTCCCTGCGTGGGGAGATCCAGCCACCGCCAGTTGGTTTGGACCCATGGGTCTTTCCCCACCTGCATGTGGGGAGATCCAGCCACGGCAGCCATGGGGGATGTTGGGCAGTTTGCCAATAGCCCTGAAAAGAGGGACTTACGACTGTTTTTCATACTTATGACCGTTGCAGCATCCCCATGGATAACATGATCAAAATTCAGATGTTTGGCAACTGGCCTGTATTTATGACGGTCGCAGCGTCCCGGGGGGGGTCACTTGCTCCCCTTTCGCGACCTTTTGGCAAGCAAAGTCAACGGGGAAGCCGGATTCTCTTAACAACCCAGTTACTAACTTCACAGCTGCAGCGATTCACTTAGCAACTGTGTCAGGAAAGGTCGTAAAATGGGGCAAAACTCTTAACAACTGGCTTGCTTAGCAATGGAAACCTTGGCCTCGATTATGGTCGTAAGGCGAGGACTACCTATACTGCACTGGGGTCTTGATGGGGCTGCCCTTGAAGGTCAAGCTGCAAGTGGTTTGACATGGGGGGGGGTTGGGGGAGGGGGCAGGGCTCACTTCAGCAGGCCCACTGCTTTCTCAAACTGGGCAACTTTAAATCAGAGTGACTTCAACGCCCAGAATTCCCCCGACAGCAGGGGAAAATATGGTTCATCGCCCAGTCAGCCAGATATTCAGACTGGATTTGGAATTCTTACCCACCTATCAAGTCTTTCCTAGAACTGGGATAATGATTACAAACTATTGTAATTTAGATGTTGTGAATATTGTAGTGTGTATTTTTTTATTCCAGAGTCGCAAATTCCATCAGGAGAGTATTCATAGCAGAAGTTCCTATTATAGGTAATGTCCCCGACATTTGTCACGTTCTCTCATTCGTTCACTTTCTCTTGGTATTAATTCGGGAAGAAAATTGTGTTTACTTCGCTCTTATTTTGTGTTCAGCTATAGACTGGGTTCAGATTGACGCCAATTCGTCAGTGCTGCACGATGAGTTCATTGCACACAGGTTGGGTGAGTACTCATGAAACAGAAGGAAAAAGCTTGTTTGTCTTATAAATTTTCATTTTATTTCATTCAGAAAATGAAAAATACAAGGAAAAGAAATTACAAAAAAAACAAAAACAAAGGGAAAAAGCATCTCTAGGAATTCTCTAGATCAGTGTTTCTCAACTGTGCCAATTTTAAGATAGGTGGACTGCAACTCCCAGAATTCCCCAGCCAGCTATGCTAATTCTGGGAGTTGAAGTCCACATACTTTAAAGCAGAAGTCCCCAACCTTTTGGGCACCAGGAACCGGTTTTGTGGAGAGAGGTTTTTCCGTGGACCGGAGGAGGTGTGGTTTTGTTCTGCCTGCAGCCCACAGATGGGGTCTCACTTGTTTGTGTGGCCCGGTTGCTGGCATGCCGTAGCCCTGATCCACGGACCGAGGGTTGGGGACCCCTGCCTTAAAGTTAGCAAGGGTGAGAAACACTGATCTAGATTAAATTAGAATTATTGCTATTTACACGTACTCTGCCAGATAGTTCTGACTGGATTGGAACTTTTGACTATTTTTCATCATCAATTAATTTCTCTCCCCTTAGGTCTGATCCCACTTACCAGCGACGGTGTGGTTGATAAACTGCAATATTCCAGGGTGAGTCCAAACCAGCGATAAACTATATTTCTGGAGGATCACTATCAGCAGAGAGATAAAGATGGAGGATCAAAATTCCTTTTTCAATTTTTCTCCCAAGGCACCCTTGCTGCAGAATGCTAAATTAATAATAGAAGTAGTAATAATAAATTAAATTTACATGCTGTCCAACTCCCTGTGACTTCTTGTCCTAGATTGCACTTTTGTTATGGTAATTATTTATTAAATTTCTCTTCCGCCAGCTTTGCTGGACTTAGGTTGGGCTTACAATACAATGCATTTTTTGTTATAAAATGTCCACAATGCAAACTTCCAACACAATGCGGTGCCATTAAATCACAATATAAAAACAACCAAAACAATTAACCAATAATGAACAGTCTGGCTTTCTAGACTTTCAGAAGACCAGGCCTGTAATTCGCATGTCTTTAGTTTCTAGGTTCGGCCTGCTTTATTTATTTGTCCGGTGGCACATTCACATCATATGTCAGTAAAAAGGAACACGGGGTAAAATACAAAGCATAGAATATAAAATCTGAAATCTTAACAGGAAGATTACAAAACTAAGTCGCCCCGCCGTCACCGTTCAGGGATGGCATTTTGCTCCGCTTATAGAGGGCATCTGCCCATCTGCCATGGCCAGGATCAGTTCGGCCCACTGTTTGGCCTCATTTAGAGCCGAGGTCCCCAACCCCCAGTCCGTGGACCGGTACCAGCCCATGGTATACCAACAACTGGTCCGCACAAACAAGCAAAGCCCCATCCATGAGATGCAGGCAGCACACAAAGTCACGCACGCTCTCCGATCCGTGGAAAAACCTCTCTCCACGGAACCCTGGTGCCCAAAAGGTGGAGGACCTCTGCTTTAGAGGACTGACATTCCCTGGGTGAGTTGAGCTCCAGAAGTATCCCTCATCTTTCCCATCTCCCCTTTTTTTAATCAGGACTGCAACTGTGATGAGTTTTGTCCCGATTGTTCGGTGGAGTTCTCTCTCGATGTCCGGTGCAACGAAGACCAGACTCGGCATGTCACATCTCGGGATTTGATCTCCAACAACTCCCAAGTTATACCGGTCAGTGTCCTGTTCTCTCTCTCTCTCCACATGGCAGTCCTCGAAGGAGGTTGGGTCAAGAGATGAGCAGGGCCGAGATTCCAAGAAAGCAAGTTGATGGTTGCAGACTGTTTGCAGATTTTAGAAAGCTTGGGCAGAAATGCTTGCTCCCTTCAAAGGACAACCCATGTTATTTGTTGTTATTTATTATGGTTCTTAGTCCATAACTCTATTCAAGCTTCACGAGTTGAACTGTCGGACCTGCTTCAACTTGGGCTTCTAAGTAAAAACGATCCCTTCCTCCATTTGTTGAGAAAGGCATGGTTTACTAGAAGTGAAGTGAATTAACAGCAGTTCAAAGTCATAACGGAGAGCCTGTGTGTAAAATTTTCCCAGTTAATTTTCCTTCCTTGCTCCCTTCCCATTGCTTGTCTCCCATTGTCCAAACGATTTTAAAAGAGATGTTTTGGAAACAGTCACTCTACATGTGGCATTCTTCTCCAGGGAAACAACCTTGGAAACTTCATAGGTTCTCACAGAGAAATCTTCTCACAGTTCAGCTTCATTTTACCCCAAGGCCTTGCCTTCCTTCCAGCCTTCTCCCCAAGGGTTTATGGCCGACTGGCATTGTTCTGCATTCCTTGTTTTAACTTTCCTTTCTTCCCTGCAGGTGACATCCCGGAGAAGGGACAATGATCCCAATGACTACGTTGAACCAGATGGTACGTTCCCAAGCGTGGCTGGCTGGGGAATTCTGGGAGAATTGAATTCCACAAGTCTTAAAAGTTGCCAAGTTTGGAAACCCCTGCTTTAGGAAGAAGGAGCATTCTGGCTGATCTATGAGCCGTCACTTGAGTAGTGGATACAAACCGCTGTAGTTGGTAATAAGAGCCCATTGCCATTTGAGAGCTATAACCTTCGGCAGATGATGGTGGTGATGATTAAGGAAAGTATCGGGGTGGAAAAGACTTTTCTGAGCAAGACATCCCACATCTTACTTTATAGCAATAGCTCTTAGACTTCTATACCGCTTCACAGTGCTTTACAGCCCTCTCTAAGCGGCTTACAGAGTCAGCCTTTTGCCCCCAACAATCTGGGTCCTCATTTTACGGACCTCGGAAGGATGGAAAGCTGAGTCAACCTTGAGCTAGTCGGGATCGAACTCCTGGCAGTGGGCGGAGTCTGCCTGCAGTACCGCCTTTTAAACCCTGCGCATCATGGAGGGAGGGAGAGAGGAATAGAAGGAAGGGCAATAGCAATAACAGTTAGACTATATAAACTTAAACACCGCTTCACAGCATATTTGTCCCCAACAATCTGAGTCGTCATTTTACTGACCTCAGAAGGATAGAAGGCTGAGTCAACCTTGAGCCGGTCAGGATCGAACTCCTGGCAGTGGGCAGTGAGTAGCCTGCAATACTGCATTCTTCATTTATGGGCACCCATCATGATTCTGATAAGCCTCCAGTCCAACAAGATGCACCGTTTTTTGTTTTTTTTAGACATCTTGATTGTCAAGCTACGCAAAGGCCAAGAGCTAAGGCTCCGGGCCTATGCTACGAAGGGCTTTGGTAAGGAGCATGCCAAGTGGAACCCCACAGCAGGTGTGGCCTTTGAGTATGATCCAGACAACGCCCTGCGTCATACAGTCTACCCCAAGCCTGAGGAATGGTAGGTTTCCGTAAACCTTGTATTGTTAGGTTCTTGTTTGGGCAATCTTGTTTGATCTTTTTCAAGGGTCTTCTCTAGGGCTGTTTACCTTTGCCCCTGGCCCCATCAACTCTGTGTTTCTGTCTCCTTCCAGGCCAAAGAGCGAATATTCTGAAATTGATGAAGATGAAGCCCAGGCTGCCTATGACCCCAACGGGAAGCCGGAAAGGTGAGGGATCGGATACCTGAACTAGATTTTCTCCAACTGGAACTCAGCTGGTTGGGCAAGACTACAGGTACCGTGTTTCCACGAAAATAAGACCGGGTCTTATATTAAATTTGGCTCCAAAAGATGCATTAGGGCTTATTTTCCGACTGGGTCTTATTTTCAGGGAGATATGGTAATCCTTGACTTAGTAGTCCTTACAACCAGTCACTTAGGGATCGTGGAAAGATACCATGGACTTCCCTGGCCTGGATTTGAAGTGACAGTGGTTTCCCTCCCCCCTGCAGTCAGATGACCACACTTTGGACACGGCAACTGGGCTGCATTTACAGATGTTTGCAGTGTCCTATGGACATGTCACCCCATTGTCCAATGTTTTTTCCAAAAACCAGCATTTACTTCCAGTTTTTGTAAAAATGTCTCCCCAGCAAACCATTGGTTTGCTTAATGGCCAGGATTCGCTTAAGAACTGCAGTAATTTGCTTAACAACCATCACAATAAAGTCATAAAATCAGGTCAGTAATGTGGGTGACCCAGTTCCCGACACAAATGAGTTATAACTGGTGATGGGCATGTTCCATTGCAGTCGTAACTCAAGGATTACCTGTGGTCTAAACAGCTCATTAGGGCGATGGCATTCTCTTACCTCCCCTGAAACCAATACAGTGCTTTCTTCACACTTCAGTTTAACCCATGTTTTGTTCTAATCCTGGCTTGTTGAACACCATAAATAATGGTGCTGAAAACCAACGATAATGGGATTGAATGCCAGGAACCCAGGGAATTGTCAATTCAGGGGCCTATCAGTGCAATAATTAAATTAATAAAACTGCAGATTACAAACCCCAAATGCTGGGTTTGAATCGTGGGTTAAATTAAGGCCCTCCAACCTTTTTATCCCTGCTCAGGTTTTACTACAATGTGGAGTCTTGTGGTTCTCTGCGTCCTGAGACTATTGTGCTCTCGGCCTTATCAGGCCTGAAGAAGAAGTTGAGCGATCTCCAAACTCAGTTGAGTCAAGTGATCCAGAATGAAGTGTTGACCATAAACTGATGTTAGTTAACTGCTTGGAACAACCCTGGTTTCTGGGAATGATAAAAGCAGCTGAGATTAGAGGCGGGCCTAATTTGAACTCTGCCTCCAAATCTGATACCCGTTGGTGTTTTTCTCTTGCTAACTTTGGGTCAAAACAGTGTGTTGTTTGTTCTGAATCAGTGTTTGTCAACCTCAGCCATTTTAAAATATGTGGACTTCGAATTCCAGAATTTCCTGGCCACCATAATGCATAGACTTTAACTCCCATGTTGGCTGAGGAATGCTGGGAGTTGAGGTCCATACATCTTAAAGTTGGTGAAGTTGAGAAACACTCTTTCTAAATCGCACTCAGCATTCTCTAACAAAATATTGGCCGTAGATCAGAGATGTCCAGCCTTGGCATATTTAAGGCTTGTGGATTTCAACTCCCAGAATTCTCCAGCCAGCCATGCTGATTGGGAATTCTGGGAGTTGAGGTCCACAGGTCTTAAAGTAGCCAAGGTTGGACACCCCCTTGAGAATAAAACCACCAACCTTATCTTGTTCTCATCTCTTCTGAGGTCTTGAGTGAAAAATCTCCAGTTTGAGGAAGGTCCATGTTATCCAACAGATGTTTGTTCATACGTAATAAAAATAAATTCTCTTTTGAGAAAGCGACGCCTGCGTTTTTATTTTTCCTTCCAGCTCAGAACATGCTCCAGAGTTTGACAGTATCTGTGCAAGGATGTGGAATTTCTTCCCTATCAATTACTCTTTTTTTTAAAAAAAAAAATATGGATTCCTTTCCTCAGCCTGTTTGTTTTGTGGATCAGGTAAAACCATAGGTTTATGAAGCTAGTATAGGCAGTCCTCAATTTATAACCATTCATTTAGTGACTATTCGAAGTTACAATGGCACTGAAAAAAATGACATGGCTGTTTTTCACACTTACGACCTTTGCATCATCCCCAATGCGATCAAAATTCAGACGCTTGGCAACTGGCGTGTACTTACGACGGTTCCAGTGTCCCGGGGTCGCGTGATCGCCTTTTGTAACCTGACAAGCAAAGTCAATGGGGAAGCCAGATTCACTTAACAACTGTGTTACTAACTTAACAACAGCAGTGATTCACTTAACAACTTAAGTGCAGTTGTGCATCCAGTTTTGGTCACATTACAAAAAAGTTGTTGAGGCTTTGGAAAAAGCGCAAAGAAGAGCAACTAAGACGATTAAAGGCCTGGAGACAAAAACCTGAAGAACGGTTGCAGGAATTAGATATGGCCAGTCTAGAGAAAAGGAGGACTAGGGGTGACATAATATTCTAGTATTTGAGGGGGTCAACTTATTTTCCAACGCACCAGAAGGCAGGACAAGAAGCAAGGGATGGAAACTAATCAAGGAGAGAAGCAACCTGGAACTAAGGAGAAACTTCCTAACAGTGAGGACAATTAACCAGTGGAACAGCTTGCTTCCAGAAATTGTGAGCGCTCCACCTCTGGAGGTTTTTAAGAAAGACTGGACAGCCATTTGTCTGAAATGGTATAGGGTCTCCTGCTTGAGCAGGGGGTTGGACTAGACAACCTCCAAGGTCCCTTCCACCTATTTTGATTGATTGAACTGTAGCAAGATTCGCTTAACAAACATGTTACTTAACAACTGCAGTGATACAGTGATCAAAGTTCAGTAAGACTTTCTGATTAGTGTTTTGAAATAATGAAGAAGAAAGTCTGGGCAGCACTGCCGTAGCCCGTCTTTGTTGGTGGTACGCACAAAGGTTTAAAATAGCAATGTACACAAACCTGCCATACTAAACGTAACCACTCGGTGGCCCCAGGCACTTGTGGATGGAAATAATGTCTTTTTTTTTTTATTGAAAATTTTTAAAATTTTACAAAAAAGTTCCCTTCCCCAAACCCTCCCAACCCACCCCAACCCTCCCCCAACCTTCCCAGAGCTGAATACAGGCTTAATTAAAATTTAAAATAAAAAATTTTAAACACAAATAAACCATATACAAATTTGATTACAATAATTAAACAAATTATAAAATACTTTAACACCAATATTTAAAAAGCAGAAAGAGAAAAAAAAGAAACAAGAAAAAGAAGAAAAAAGAAAAGAAAAATTAGAAAAAAAAGAATATCTAAAAAATATCTTAAACTTTGAATATAAATTATTCGAAAGCTAAATAATATTTTTTTATATCATACTTGTATTGTATAAAATTTATCCATCTTTTCCATACCAAAAGGTACTTCTCTTGCGATTGATCTTTCAGGAAAGCCGAAATCTTTGCCATTTCCGCTAAGTAAGAAACTTTAAGAAACCATTCTTGCAAAGTAGGCAAAGATTCCTTCTTCCAACATTGCCCTACTAACAACCTAGCCGCTGTAATTAAATTTAACATTAATATAGTTTCTTTACTGTCACAATCGGAAACAATACCCAGCAAAAACAATTGTGGAGTAAATTTTATCCTTCTTTTAAAAATTCTTTGAATATTCCACCATATCTTAATCCAAAAAGCTTTTATATTTTTGCATAACCACCAAATATGATAATAAGTGGCGTCCGAGCAACCACATCTCCAACATTTAGGCTGCAAGTTTGAATACCTACGAGACATTTTTTGTGGATCAAAGTGCCATCTGTAAAACATTTTATAAAAGTTTTCCTGTAAGTTTTGGGCTTGTGTAAATTTGACATTCCTCACCCAAATAATCTCCCAAGTATCTAATGGAACCGATTCATCAAAATTTTGTGCCCATTTAATCATACAATCTTTAACTAGTTCTGCTTCTGAATCCAATTCCACTAACACCCCATAAATTCTTTTAATATGGGTTCGTCTTTGATCTTTTGTTTTAACAAATTCTCATCCTCTCTGAGCAAACCCACCTTGCAATCTATCTTCCACCTTTCCAATAATTGTCTATACTGAAACCATGAATAAATAATGTTTTCTTGTATTAAATCTTCCATGGAGTTTAATTGCCAATTTTTACCATCCCATCTAAGTAATTGTGTATAAGAAATACTATCCATCTTAACTCCTCTCCTTATCCCTTCTATCGCATGCCATGGGATAGCCCATAATGGAATTCTAGAGTCACTTCTATAATATTTCTTCCAAACCCAAAGTAAAGAAGTTCTTAAAATATGAGATGGAAATAATGTCTTGAGTTTGAAGCGAACAGCACAAACTACTGTAGTAAGACTACAAACTACTGTAGTAGGACTGCCACGCTTACCAGCAAACAATCTGTAAAAGAGCCAAGGTTGCCTACCCCTGGTATAGGGCCTCCTGCCATGGGCAGGAGTTGAACTAGAAGACCTCTAAAGTCCCTTCCGACCCTATTATTCTGTTTTAAAAGGCACCACTTGGGACTCCGTCTATGCCAGGGGTAGGCAACCTCGGCTATTTTATGACTCGTGGACTTCAACTCCCAGAATTCCTGAGTCAGCTATGCTGGTCTATGCCATCTGGAGGGAGCTAGGAACACCCTAACCCTGATAACCGATTAGCTCAGATTCTGCAGGCGTTTTGTATAGCGTTGAAAAGAGGGCTGTTTTCCCAAGGATGAAAGCTAAGGAGACGGTGAGTTCTAGTCATGCTTTAGACATGAAGGCCGGCTGCGTGACATTGGGCCTATCACTAGGAGACTGAGCTCTAGTCCCGCCTTAGGCAGGAAAGCCAGGTAGGGGGTAACTTCAAGCTAATCAGCAGGAGTTTGTGAGTTTGGGTCCCACCTTAGGCAGGAAAGCCAGCTGGGTGACTTTGAGCCAATCACTGTGAGAATTGTAGGTTCTAGTCCCGCCTTAGGCATGAAAGCCAGCTGCATGTCTTTGGACCAGTCCCTCTGCTTCAACCCGACCTACCTCGTAGGGTTGTTGTTATTGGGAAACTAGGAGGATGGAGCAGGACTAGGCTTGTTCACAACTTGAGTAACTCATAAAGTAATAAAGCTGGGATAAAAGTTTGATAAACAAAAAAATGCCTCTTGGTAAGGATTTCTTCTTTATTCTTCCCCCCAGCGTGGAGTGGAAAGCGTAAGAAGGCAGGGAGGCCGCCCACTGTCAAAAGAAAATAATAGTGCCAGACAAAGACAGGTTATTCATACACACACAAACACACACACACACTCACACCCCTTAGCCCCTTAAGAACTGAACAAAGGATGGAATACCACCTGGGGAAATGCATGAAAAAAAAATATCTTCTCTCTTTTGAAAAGATGTTCAAAGCTTCCTCCCTTTCATGGAATTCCAGGTGAACTTCTAGGGAAATGCAGCATTCTTGCTGTGCAAATTTCTCTACACACACCAGCTCCCTCCCTTTTGCCCTGGGCCTCCAAAGACTTCAGTCCTGCTGGAGCATTACCCCCCTACAACTGTAAGTTGCTGATGGCAGCAATACAGCTAACACTGAGAAACATATTTCAGCCCTAAGCCATGTCCCTCATAATCTTGGCAAAAGGATGTCAGCACGTTTCCCTCCTGTGGGCCCTGCCTGGGCACGGCTGGTAAATAAGGGCCTTATTGTCTTTGAGCTCCAGGAATGAGGAGAGCATGCAGAAATGTATGTTGGAGAGGCTACTATCAATATTTGAAGGTGGGCCTATCTTCTTGAGAAGGAATACATATTCTAAGCAGATGCTTTTAATGGTTTGCACATTGTTTCAAATAAAGGGGGGGGGAACCCCTGCAGTGTGATTTTATTGTTATGGGCAGTAATCAAAGTTAAATCTACATATTACTAAAATGACAGAATAATAGATTTAGAAGGGATCTTGGAGGTCTTCTAGTCCAACCCCTTGCTCAAGCAGGAGACTCTATACCAGGGGTAGGCCACCTTGGCTCTTTTATGACTCATGGACTTCAACTCCCAGAATTCCTGAGCCAGCCATGCTGAGGGGAAAGGGAGAGGTTTCCAAGCTGAGCCATGCTGGCTGAGGAATTCTGGGAGTTGAAGTCCACGAGTCATAAAAGGGCCAAGTTTGAAGACCCCTGAGGTAGGGACTCCACAACCTTTCCCCTCAAATTGGCACCTTCAAGGATCCTGTTGCTCAATCTCTGCAACCAGGGAATCCTGGGAGTTGAACTCCATACATTGTCAGAGTGGTTGGGGCTGAGAAACGCTGAGCTATAGGAACAAGCTTCTACTTGTAGCTTGTATCATCTCAGCTTAGGATCCACACAGGGCCATCCCTGCCCCCAAGAGAAAACGTGTCTGCCTTCTCCGGTTTTTCAGCCACCTCGTCTCTGAAAGATTCCTTCTTTCCTTCCCACTCCTGCAGTTCCTCTCGTTTTGCCTCCAGTTCCAATTCGTTTTTTGGAACAAGTTTCTAATTAGGTTGATGAGACTAAGGTGAGGCATCCTGTGCTCTTTGGGTTTCTATCTGTTCACCTGAGAACAGGTGCTGCCTTTTCTCAAGAAGCAGGGAGGGAAGAAAGGACTCAGCAATGCAGGAATGAATACAGGTGGTTTGGCTTACAACAGGTATGTCCTCACTGAAAAAAGTGATGATTTTTCACATGACTATTGCAGTATCCCCCAAGGGATACTTGGCAAATGGCTCATATTTACGACGGTCACAGTGTCCCAGAGGGTCATGTGATCCCCTTTTGTGACCTGACAAGCAAAGTCAATGGGGAAGCCAGATTCATTTAATAACCATGTTACTACTTTAACAACTGCAGGGATTAACAAAAGCAACAAGAAAAGCTGTAAAATGGGGCAAAACTCAACCATTTCTCACAATTTTGGGCTCAATTGTGGTTGTAAGGCAAGGACTATCTACAAAGGTTTAAGTCCCAGGTAGATCAACTTGCATTTGAAACTGTTGACAAACTCTTGCCTTCCCCAATGTATGGTCTACATCAGGTAGGCCTGGACCACAGCTCCCATCATCCCCAATCAAGGCCAGATGATTTCCACAGATCTATAGCAACACAATTGTTATTCATGGCCACTTTTAAGACCTATGGACTTCAACTCCCAGAATTCTAGATGACCTCCAAGGTCCCTTCCAACTTTATTATTGTTACTATTATTACTATTATTATTATTATTATTATTCCCCAGCCAGCTTGCTGAGAATTGCAGTTCAGGCCCACAGCAACCAATTCTCATTTACAACCCATTTGCAGCATCCTGTAATCACAGGATTGTAATTTGTTAGATTTTTTGGCAAATCTCATCAAACAATCCTTTGGGGAAAGGTTTGCTTAACAATTGATTTGCTTAAAGACCACAGTGGAAATAATGGTCAGAAATTCAGGTCCGGTAATGTGATAAAACTCATTTTATAACTGCCTGGACTTATGATGGAAATTCCTGTCCCAATATGGGTCAACCTATTTTCCAAAGCACCTGAAGGCAGGACATGGATGGGAACCTATCAAGGAGAGAAGCAACCTGGAACTGAGGAGAACATATACATATACATATATATATATACAAAATCTAGGTCCATTTGCAATGTGGTTTGCTTGCTTTTGGATACACAGAATGTGTGGATTATATATAGATCACAATGTTTAACAAACCAAGATATATTCAGAAGGACTCTCCCAGAGTTCTATTGTAGGGGATGACCATTAAAACCAGGTTTGTAACTTGAAGAAACCCACTCCCACAATCAAAACCCAAAGAGACCGTGTTTGTCTGAAGTCAGCTTTATTTTCATGCTCTCCAGCTAGAAGCAATGACAACACGCATTGCTGTAGCCTGAAAAATCATATTTACAGCACAACAGATTTAACCTAGTTACAGGGGGGAAAAGTGCCTGAGGGTTCAGGGGCAGCAGCTGCATTTGTTCAGAGAAGGGTCTTTGCAGACACAGCCCTTTGCACAGTTGTCACAGCTGGCTGGGCAGCAGGAACAGCAGCCTGGAAGGAGTTAGGAAAAACAGGAGGTTAAATAATGTGAGAAAGGGGGTACAAGTAATCAATAAATCAACTTGGATGCTTGTTGAAGGCATAGAATTGGTTTTCTAGATCAGACGGAAAGTCTACGCTAAACTGGCTCAATTCCCACATTCAATCTCCATTTGACTCAGTTTCGAAATGGACCAGCTGTATTTTACCCAATTTACACGGCCCAATAAAAATGTTCAAAACCAGGAAATTTATTGTAGCTTCAACTATCCATAAAACTTATTAGGTTGATCCAATAAGAACATCCTTCTTGCTCAGAATAAAATTCTCTAGAACGCACAGGATTAAACCTCAGCTACATAGCAATTGCATATTCCTGAGAATAAGAGCCGGAAGGGACCTTGGAGGTCATCTAGTCCACACCTTGCTCAAGGAGGAGACCCTATACCATTTCGGACAAGTAGCTGTCCAGTTCTCTTCTTAAAAGCCTCCAGTGATGGAGCACCCACAACTTCTGAAGGCAAGCTGCTCTACTAGTTGATTGTTCTGTTAGGAACGTTCTCCTTAGTTCCAGATTGCTTCTCTCCCTGATTAGTTTCCATCCGTTGCTTCTTGCCCTGCCTTCTGGTGCTTTGGAAAATAGGTTGACCCCCTCTTCTTTGTGGCAGCCCCTCAAATATGGGAACACTAATCCTTTTTTCTAGACTAGACATACCCAATTCCTGCAACTGTTCTTCCAATGTTTTAATCTCCATTCTAACAGCTACTTCATAGCGCAATTACATGAACTGAAACTTTAATAACTTTGAAACTTTAATATCTTTCTAGAGTGTTCAGTCTGTCCAAACCCATGGACCCTTGTTCAGGAGCGTTCCAATGACACCATGGAACTGGTTAGGCTTATATTGCAAGTCTTGTGTCAAATCAAATGACTTGCGACGTCCCCTCTTCTTTTTTTAAAAAAAAACGGGATCTTTTAACTCCCAACTGATTTTCTAGAAAATAAGACTTACTTTTTTTACACGAAGTACACTTGCAGTTTTTGCATTTGCAGGATCCATCGCATGAGCAAGAACCACCTGAGAACGGGAAAGGGAAAGAATAAATGTCACTGGCCGAAAAGATCACAAACTACACCTGTGAGTCAACCCCTTTTACTAAGAACTGGGTTATGGGATACATCAGGGGTCTTCAAACTTGGCCCTTTTATGACTTGTGGACTTCAACTCCCAGAATTCCACAAGTTATAAAAGGGCCAAGTTTGAAGACCCCAGTGATACAGAAATGGTTCACAACTCTCTTCCCAGTTGAGCTTTTTTGCCCACTTTCCAGGACAATTAAAATTTGTGCAGGGCCTTAAGCAATTAAAACTGTAATAGCTCAAGTTTGCCATTAAGATGTAGCATCTGGACAATTTGAATTGCTCTGGGCTTATTGGGGCTTGCTAGCGTCATACCAAGGACCCCCAGGCGAAGTTTCTACGGAAACCCCATTTCTCCCAGCCTTCAGGAAATGATCAAGTAGAGAAATGGATAGATTTGTAGAAAATCAAGTTATTCCTTCAAAGGAACTAGTAGGAAAGAGAATAGGCAGGTTCGTGGCACTTCTCTTCAGTTGCCCAGCCAGTTTTATTCCCACGTTTGCGGAAGAAAAGCAAGTCGGGAATAAATTAGCAACAGGAAAATAAATTCCCCTTTGAGAACAGAGGCAAAGAATCTAGGGGAAAAAACTGCCTTGTTTTATCCTGCATGAACTTTAAAAAAATTGAAAACTTGAGCCCAGTATCCCTAAGATGCAAAAAGCGCTTAAAAAAAGAGTTTGAGTCTTAAGATGATGATAAAAGGCTGTAAAAGGTTTAGAAGCAAATGTTTCTGCAAAAACTAGGTCACCTTTTCAGCGTCCTTAAGTAGCAGTTTAAAAAAACGTAATTAGTCATGTAGTGTGGAGAAAATAAATTTGTGGGCACAGTAGTACCTTAAACCAGGATGTGGGAGATTTTTTCCTATCTGGAGTTTAGGCACCCAAAGAGCTTTTAAATTAAAAGTTAAAGTTGGGTGCCCACCCTATCCCAGAGGCAGAGAAAATCCTTCAGGTCAAGCTATGCCTTAACCATGGTTTAACAAACCTAGTTTAATTCACCTTAAACCATGATTTAACCGTGCTTTTAAACGCTACCCAAGGCTGGATTCGCATATGCTAAACCAGAACTAAAGCTATAGTTTACAGCATTGCATTGCCCGCTTAAGTGTCAGGCAGCTGCCCGGAACAGCGTGTGTGTGTGGGGGGGGGGAGATGGGGCTAAGACCCCCAATTAGAGACCTGGCAGAAACACCCAAAAAGAGTTCGCGGGACCCGGGCAGAAGAAAAGGGTCTCTTGGGAGCCTGAAGGAGGCGGACCAACCTCACTTGCTTCCCGACTCCTGGAGGTCTGGCAAGGCTCATCAAAGGCAGGAGAAACAGGTTTCTTTCCGCGCCATCTCCTGCGCTGAATCCTGGCTTACTGGTTTCGCACAGCAGCTGCCTGGCTTAAGCCAGCCGGTTCGGCAGCAAAGCCCGGTTTCTCAAAAGGGAGGGGAGCCGTTTTAGCAATGCAACCCCCGCAGGCAACACGCAGCGATCGTGGGAAAGCAAGACTTACCGGTGGCGCAGCCGCAATTCTGGGGATCCATCGCAACGGGAGAGAGACAGATGCACGAACGGCCCAAAGCCAACGAAAGAGGAACGAATGCTGGAGGGCTGCCCCCCGGCGGCCTTTTATACCGGCCGCGAGGTCAGCGAGCCGTGTGCAAAGCGCCCATCCCTCCCTCCCTCCCTGCCCGCCCTGCGCACGGGCCGCAACGGGCGAGGGGGGGGGACGGCGGCGGTGAGGATGGGCGCAAAGGAGCCGCTTCGGCGCCGCGCGCAAAGCCCCGAGCTCGCCTCCGTTTTGCAAGTGGGTGCCCGCGGGCACCGGCTGCCCTCTGGAAAGCGGCGGCGGCGGCGGTCAGGGGGCTCCGTAGCCGAAGAGGGTGAAGCAGAAACGGGCTACCTTCGGTTGCCCGCCCGCCCGCGCGAAGCCACCCCGAAACTTGACACTGGTTTACCCCGTGGAGGGAATGTAGGCGCCGGGAGGGGGAGGGCAATCATTGGTTCGAAGCGGGGTCTCGGGACCCCGATCTGATGGATCTCCTGGCAGCTGTTGAGGGATCTCCCCCCCCCTTTCCTGGGTCCTCACTCTGCAGTAGAAGCAACAGGTGGGGGATCCAGGTTGGATCTCTGTGACGTTGATTGGGGAGGGGGGAGATCTCTCGGATTTTGACCTTTGGAAAAAGTGCAGAGAAGAGCAACTAAGATAGTTACCCCCAATGAGGCCCCACCTGGAAGACTGCAGCCAGTTTTGGTCACCATACTACAAAAAGGATGTTGAGACCTTGGGGGGGGGGGGGAGTTCAAAGAAGAGCAACTAAGATGATCCAAGGCCTGGAGACTAAAACGTGAAGAAGGGTTGCGGGAATTGGGTATGGCCAGTCTAAAGAAAAGAAGGACTAGGAGTGACATGATAGCAGTCTTCTAGTATTTGAGGGTCTGCCACAAAGAAGAGGGGGTCAAACTATTCTCCAAAGCACCTGAAGGTAGGACAAGAAGCAAGGGATGGAAATTAACCAAGGAGAGAAGCAACCTAGAACTAAGGAGAAACTTCCTAACAGTGAGGACAATTAACCAGTGGAACAGCTTGCCACCAAAAATTGTGGGCGCTGCATCGCTGAAGGTTTTTAAGAAGAGACTAGACAGCCACTTTTCTGAAATGTTATAGGTTCTCCTGCTTCAGCAGGGGGTTGGACTAGAAGACCTCCAAGGTCCTTCCAGCTCTATTCTGATTGATTTGCAAACACCCACGTGAGGATTCCCTCCGATGTGGCCTCCTATTCTGTGGAATGGGGCTTTCTCCCACATGGGGGGGAAGAGTCCTGCGTTCCCCTCCCTCACCAAACTGGGAATGTCCATCTCGTCCAGATGTTTATGGCAGGATCCAGGCAGTGGGGCTTCTTTTGTTAGACCAGAGTAATATTTAATTTTTTATGCATTTGTGATCAATGGCTTTGCTTTGAGGTTTCTGATTGTTTTTTTTCCTTGTGCACAACAAGCTTGCAAGGTCGGAAATATTCCAGGGAGCTTCCATAGCTGAGCATGGATGAACCTCACACGGGCTAAATCATCAACCTACTGGTTCCCAATTAAAATTAAATCAAACAAGGTTTCTCGTAGATTTAATCCTTTCCCCCCAGTGCTTCATCTTAACTAATCAGCCTTTGAGCTCAGCAAATTTGGACTTAATGAGGACTTAAATGTAAAAACATCAGGTTTTTTTAAAAAAAATAATTTTAAATAATTTTAAAAATCCCAGAAGAAAACAGGGCCTGTATGGTTTCTATGTATTTATTTTACCATGCTTTTTAAAAAGATATACGCAAAATAGAAAAAAAACGAACAAAAAGCCTTAAAATACCAAAATGAAGCAATCATCAAACTAAATGAAAAGAAGGGAAAACATGACAAACTATTGGTGCCTTTCACATCTCTCCAACGTTAATCATTAAACTTTCTAAATCAAAGAGCGTAAATAAGACTCTTGTTGTAAAATGCCATGGAGCTGTGCCAAGCACACTAGGCCAGTTTTTGATGATTAGGTAAAGTTGCCTTGTCAAAAAAAATCACAAATATTCACCACTATTGCATAAATTACACGTCTTTCAAATCCAATCACTATCAGATATACTACTACTTTTGTAGTTTGAGAAATTAAACTACGGTGATTCTCTTAGCCCATATCCCAAGGTATTTTATATGCCTAAAAGTTGGAATCTGATTAAGTTTGAGGAATTGGCCCTGGAAAAAAGGAGAGAGAATAACAGAATTGGAAAGGACGATTTATATTAGTGTCTTGGGATGAATTAGTCTTGGGATGGATGGATGGATAGAAGATACAGATGGATGATAGGTGATAAGACAGACAGGCAGATAGATATGGTGGCAGACATCACACACACACACACACACAGAGAGAGAGAGAGAGAGTCTTGATGGCCCAAAACACAGTGAAGCCATTTCCACTTTCCTGGTCGAACTATGGCTTTACAACAGTGTGCAAACTTTCCTCTCCTCATTCAGATGGGTTGCGGCAACCACTAGAGTGGTGTGCAGCTTTTAAGCCCACCTCTTTTTGCACATGACAATACAAACAACACTGCTCCCCTCCCGAAAGTGGAGTGCAGTGCGCAAAAGAGACACGTGGGTTGATGCTGAGTCAAGCGTGAGTCAGCAGATAAAGCTTTAGTTAGTTAGCAAACAATGACAGCACCCACCGCCTGTTTTAATAAATTTGGGCTTCCTTGAATTTTCCAGGTTGGATACTCTTGGTTTTTAATTGATTTATTTAAGTATCCCTCTTCCCTGGAAAAGTCCCTGTGTGGAAGAAATCACACAGTTTCATAGGGCATTGAAACAATACCCAATAGTTAAAAACACTATTCAGATGGTGCAGTTGGGGCTGTATTTGCATAGCTCACTTGGTTACTGAGTTATCCCCTTTCTGGGTTTGGGCAATAATTAGTGAAAGCAGGCTGGGTTCTCACAATCTGCTAATTAGTAAAGTTATTGATCAATGTTACAACTAATCAATCATGAATATAGGTACTCCTCGACTTAACAACAGTTTGTTTGGTGACCGTTCAAAGTTACAACGGCACTGGAAAAAGTGACATGGCCATTTTTCACAGTTAACAGCCTTTGTAGCATCCCCGTGATCGTGTGAACAAAATTCAGATCAATCAGAATAGAGCTGGAAGGGACCTTGGAGGTCTTCTAGTCCAGCCCCCTGCTCAAGCAGGAGTCCCTATCCAGGGATAGGCAGCCTTGGCTCTTTTATGACTTCAACTCCCAGAATTGATTCCCATTTCCATTTTGTGTGTCCTGAATACGTTCCATGTGATGACAAGGGTGATAAATCATGTTTTAGGAAGAATTTGGGTTTGGGGTTTTGGTACAGCTGTACCCCAGCTTGCAGAGGAAAGAGAATGGCTGTTAAATGTGGACGTCCTGCCCTGAAATCAAGACTGACCCTGTTTAGCACAGCTTTTGCTGCATAGCTCTGGGAATAAGTGTGAAGATCCTTGGCAGCATCAACCAACACACAACGTAAACCTGTGGCTTGAGGGGAGTGTTTGGAGATTAACTACTAGGAATTTGATTGGATAATGGTTAGATAGCATTTTTGGCATGCACCTCTCCAGAAGATACAGAAAGTTCTTGCAAACCGATCCAAAACTTGCTCAAGGAGAAGGCGAGAACAAGGAGGGGGAAAAGACTTGATTTTCTTATCAGGAGAGGCCCATCAGCCACCTTACAGAAAACTCTGGTTTATCTGCTCCACAAGGGTGAGATTCTCTCTTAAAAGTTCAGACTCTCCTTGGCAAACAAGAAAAGGAGGAAGATAGTTGTGGAATGAATGAAAACCCAAACAAATCCCCTAAGACGGCACCGTCTTAGGCCTAAAGAAGCTTCTGTCTGAATCTGGATGTTCTGCTTCGGATACTACGAAGCCCCCTCCTCCCAGAAGGTAACAAGGAAAACAGGTCGTGAAGAGGATGTGTAGTGTCCCAGATAATCTTACGGAGCCTGCTCAAGCAACACTTCTGTGCTATGTCCTGGATGGGAGGGAGGGAACTGCCAATAATCTGCTCAGCCGTCCTCACCACTCTGCACAGCCTTCCTGTCTGAAGCAGGGATGCTTCCAAACCAGACTGATGCTGTATGACAGGATGCTCTCGGTCGTCCCCCTGTAGAAAGCGGTCAGGACAGGGGAAGGACGATGTGCTTTTCTCATGTGGCGCAGAAAATGCAGGCGCTGCTGTGCCCGCTTCACCAGTTTCTCACTGTTGAGCGACCAAGTCAGCCTACTCGTTAGCTGCACACCCAGGAATTTGACACTGGTAACCCTCTCCACAGGTGAATCATTAATGCCCAGAGAAGTGTGGCTGTGCCTGCCTTTTCTGAAATCAACAATGATCTCTTTGGTTTTTCCAGTATTTAAAACTAGGCTGTTTTCCTTACACCAGTTCACCAACCCTTCAAATATTGTACTCTAGTAGTGGGCAACCAGTGTGTTTAATTTATAATTGGAGTGCATAATTCATTTAATCAAATTAAAGAATTAGCTAAAGTTGTACGACATCTTGGTTAGCTTTTAGTTTTTAAATGTTTATTGTCTGTCAAGTCAGTATTGACTTTTTGTGACTGCCTGGACCTGTTCCTTCACTTTTTATGCCAAGATTTCTGGAAGTGGTTGATCCTGGTTGCCGTCTTGTTAACTCTGAGTGGGAGTGACTGGCCCGTAATCATTCATCTGGTTTCATGCCTACAGGAGGATTAGAATTCGCCACCTCCTGCTTTCCAGACTAGTGCCTTAACTACCGCTACACCAAACTGGCTCTCAAATTATGCAAAGGCATCCTGACAAAAAGATAAGCTCAGAAGTGCGAATCCAGCATAATCCTAGTAGGTGGCCTTCTTTCTTTCTCACAGGATACTCAAAGTAGGCCACCTCAGCATCCCAGTTAGGTCTGATTGGAACCAGAAAGAGCAACAAATTTGCTTGAAAAGTCAGAATCTTGTCAGGTTTTCGTGTTGTCGTTTGCTGTAGAAAATATTGCTTTTTTTTTTTCCAAAGGGAAATTGCCATGCTAGAAAATAAAATGGAATCTTCTCACTTCTTTTCCCATGGAACCTCTGAGCCCACCTATAATTGACAGGCATTTATAGGAGACCAAGAACGGGATATAGAAGAGCAGCCTGCCTAAGGGAGAAGACTAAGATGATGTTCTGGGCTTCAAGAGGTATCTTGGAATCCATTCACTATGATTCACCTTCTGGTAAATTTGATTTGTAATGGGCATCCCTGACATAAACAGGACCCGTAGGGAGGTGGGTCAAAACAAGTCAAGATGGTGGCCACCACTGTGCTTGAAGCCTCTTCCCTTCACGTGCATCCCAACACACATAAAAAAGGGGCTGAGCTCCAATCTCATGGTTGTGCCCGCTATCTTGACTTTTTTGACCTCAACAGATCCCCCTTGACTGACATCCAGCAGCCCAGTCCAGTTCCACCCTCCTGCCATCCTATTGTCAAAATTCCAGGTGTGCCATTAATTGAATAAGTATTGCTTTCATGTTCCAAAAACCAAAAAAGACACACTGAGTTACATCAGTTTCCTTTATGGTTCCTCACTTATGGACAGAAATCTTGTCAAATTGAAGAATTGATGCTTTCAATTAATGGTGTTGAAGAAGATTCTTGCGAACCCCTTGGACTGCAAGGAGATCAAATCAGTTCAATCTTGAAGGAAATCAACCCTGACTGTTCTTTGGAAGGACAGATCCAGAAGCTGAAAGTCAAATACTTTGGCTACCAAATGAGAAGACTCCTTGGAAAATACCCTGATATTGGGGAAGATGGAAAGCAAAAGGAGAAGGGGATGGCACAGGATGAGATGGTTAGATGGTGTCGTCAACACAAGGAAAATGAATTTGGGCAAACTTCGGGAGACAGTGGAAGACCGGGGTGGGGTGGGGGGCTGGCATGCTACGGTCCATGGGATCACGAAGGGCTGGACATGACTTAGTAACTGAACAACAACAACAACAAATGGAGAAGTAAGAGCTCCATCCTACACTTTGGAAATTATTAGTCTTATATTTTTGGTAACAACTCTTTCAATGCATCCCCCATCAGTATTTCTATCCATGAAGGCATCTAATCTAGAACAGAGAACGTAGAATAATAGGATTGGAAAAAGACCTTTCTACCAATGCACCATGTTGCTTACTCGAAATAAAGCCAGTGGACACATTTTAGCTATTTAAAATCATTTTATTTTTAAACTGGAGTTAGTACCTTGCAATCGGTTGCCAAAAATTCTGATATCTGAAATTTAGCCGTAATAGAACTTCACTGAAGAGCAGATTCCTAACGAATACAGCATCTTGCACCTATTAATGCCTCCTGCAGGTCCCTTGGCAAAGGCAAATGCCAAAACACCACAAACATTCCTTATATACACACATGGCTTTATTACTGTCAGCGTCGTTTACGTTCGCAACTAACGGTGAGAGAGCACGCAATAGCAAAAATATAACCGGACAGGAACATTACATTTCTGCAGGCAAATATACAGATTTCAAGACTGCCGGAGCCAGCCTCTCTTTACTTGCAGCAGCTGCATTTAGTGGCAGGGGGGCCTTTGCAAATACAGCCCTGGGCACACTTGGCACAGCCCACCGGGCAACAGGAACAGCAGCCTGAAAAGAGAATGGGAAAACTTTAGCCTCTTTTAAACACAAGAGAATTCTTAAACCGAACATTCAGTTTAATTCAGAGACTTTTCTCTGAGGTTGGAAGAACAAAGAGATTTTTTGAAAATAAAAAATAAAAAATTGAACTTCGTTTTTATATGTGACAACAGCAGTGAGGCTTCTGTATGCACAGAGGTAGAAGACCATAGAATAATAGGCCTGGAAGGGATCTTGGAGGTCTTCTATCTAAACCTGGGTAGGCAATCTTGGCTCTTTTATGACTCGTGGACTTCAACTCCCATGCTGGCTCAGGAATTCTGGGAGTTGAAGTCCACGAGTCATAAAAGAGCCAAGGTTGCCTACCCCTGATCTAAACCAACGTCCTGCACAAGCAAGAGTTCTTACACAAGGATGGAGCATCCACAACTCCTGAAGGCAATCTGTTCCACTGGTTAATTGTCCTAACTGTCAGAAAATTTCTCCTTAGTTCCAGGTTGCTTCTCTCCCTGATTAGTTTCCATCCGTTGCTTCTTCTCCTGCCCTCTGGTGCTTTGGGGAATAGGTTGACCCCCTCTTCTCTGTGGCAGCCCCTCAAATATTGGAAGATTGCTATCATTGTTCTTTTCTTTGTTGAACTAGACATATCTTTCACATATATCCACAAGGGGAGATTGAACAGTGAAAAGGAGTTGTCGGAGATGACAAAATTGACTGCTCTGATTTAAAAGAAAGACTTTATCCGGCTTCATTTCTACTTGGAAACCACTTTTAGATTATTATTTTTTGTTTGTTTGACACTGAAATGCAATTTTAACCTTGCTTTTTTGATGGTTAGATTTGCTCACAGCCAAGTCCTGCTTGTTGTGATTTATTCTAGTTCAAAGGGTTATTGAGTTTTAGATTTTTTTATTTGTATCAAAGAAGGCCAAAAGTTTATTTTTTCTATAGCTTTTATATCTTTGTAACCTTTTTTTAGCAGTGTAGCTTTTAAAGCACTAAGCTTTAGCTTTTTCTACAGTTCCCCGATATTGCTTTTCCCCTACTCCTTTCTCCCTCTTTTTAATTCTTTTTTTTCTTAAAAATATTTTCTACTTTTTTTGAAATTTAATAACATTTTGAAGAAAAAAAGAGAGGAAAGTATCAACCTCCTATCCCAGCTCAAGTGGAAAAAGATATCTGAACGAAGAGGTAGAGATGCTGGATTTACAGACGTTAAGCCCAAACCATATGATGTTTGAACCAACATTGTACCGTTTAGGTTTGACGGTCTGTGAATCTGGGCATCATGAAAAAAGCACATTCCACATAGGAACTTTTTTACCTCTTATTACAGGGGTAGGCAACCTTGGCTCTTTGGCTGGCTCAGGAATTCTGGGTGTTGAAGTCCACGAGTCATAAAAGAGCCAAGGTTGCCTTCCCCTGCTCTATTACGATATATAGCTCAGGGTCTCCAAATCTGACTTGTAGACTTGTAGACTTCAGCTCCCAGAATTCCCCAGTCAGGATGTAATTGGATCCTATCCATTCACAGGACATTTAATCAGGAAGGAAACAGTGTCCACATTTGTGCAATGTGCTAATAGGTCTGGCATTAACCTTAGTTAAGTATTTAGCAGTAAAGACCACACATACTCCATTGGGTTAGTTTATGATTCATCCTATCTAAAATAATTTCATTCAGCAATTAAATTAAGCAGCATAATTTAATAACCAGCAATGAAAAGTTGACAGTTTGCCTTTTTTTGTTTAAGTAACAGGTTATTCACAATGTGGGTATTTGAATTAGATAATTTTGGAACATACATAATGCAAAAAGTCTTGGTATGTTGTTGGAACAGTTGGGTGCCCCGTACAATGCAGATTCGGTTAAAGTTAAACTGAATAAATGATGGTTACTGGCAAGGATGTCATGTGAATGCAACCTGTAGGCATCGTAAAGAAACACAGAGGCCACCCGTTGAAAGGAGAGAAGATGAAACACTTAGGAAGCGAAACACAGTACTCACTTTTCCTGCAAGATTTGCATTTACAATTTTTACACTGACAGTTGTTGCCGCAGGAGCAGACCCCACCTGCAAAAAGAGGAAGACAAGCGATCACCTTCGGAGGCACAACAAAACAAAAGGTCCCTTTCAAGCCCAAACCCAGCCTTGGCAAGGAACCCCCGCCAAGTCAACCCAAGGAGGATTGGAAGGGAGGCTCTCCTTTGCCCAAGCAAGGATGCCCTTGGCGGCTTCTTCACAGGCTCCTAGCTGGCCCTTGGCTATAGCACCCCAAAGTCTGAAAAGAGACAGAGGAAGCAGCAAAGGGAACTTCTGGTTGAGTCCCTGGGCTAAGAGTGCCCGAGCTCCCCCATTGCCCCGTTGGACCCATGAGGAAGAGGCAGCCCCCAGAAAGGGGTGCCCGCATCTCTCTCTCTCTCTCTCTCTCTCTCCCTTTTTTCTTTCTTTTTCTCTTTTTCTTTTTCTTTCTCTTTCTCTTTCTTTCTCTTTCTCTTTCTCTTTTCTCTCTTTCTCTCTCTTTTTCTTTTTCTTTCTTTCTTTGTCCTCCTTTTTCTTTCTCTTTTTCTTTCTCTTTCTCTCTCCTTTCTCTTTTCTCTTTCTTTCCCTCTTTCTTTTTCTTTTCTCCTTTTTCTCTCCTTTTCTCCCTCTTTCTCTTTCTCTTGTTCTTTCTTTCTCTCTTTCTTTCTCTCTTTCTCTTTCTCTTTTTTCTCTCTCCTTTTTTCTCTTTCTCTCCTTTTCTCCCTCTTTCTGTTTCTTTCACTCGTTCTTTCTCTCTCTCTCCCTCTCCCCCCTCTTTCTCTCCAAGCCAGGGCAGAAGGGGTGGCGGGGAGGACAGGCGGAGCCGCACCGATGGAGCAGGAGCAGTCTTCGGAATCCATGCGGGCGCTTTGGGGTCTCCGGGCTCCGGTTGACGCAAAGAGAGAGAGAGAGAGAGAGACAGACTCAGGCGAAGATGCGCATCCAGTGAAGGCGGAGAGCCACGCACGGCCGCTATTTATTCCCCGCGGGGCAGCGGGTGCAAAAGCTACCCCGCCCGGTGCGCACGGAGCCCGGAGCCCGCCCCAAAAGCCCAGCCGCCGCGGCTCCCCCGGCTGGGAAGCGGAGCGCCTTGCCCTCGGGCCACGGATGCACCTGCCGCGCACGGGCGCCGGGCACGGGCTCCGCGCTTCCCCCAGGGAGGACCCCAACCCGGACGGACAGACGGACAGCCCTGGGGGTGGGAGAGGGAGGGAGGGGGTAAAGCAGCGTCTCTGCCCACCCCAGACCCCCCCCGCCTCCAGACGCTTCTGGACCCTCGCAAAAGGGCCCGGAGGGGGCCCCGGGCGATGCCACAACACCACGAAGCCTTGAATGAGCCGGGATCTGGCTAATTAGGGAGTTTATTGAAGCTTGGAAGTTGGGGAGAATAGTGTCTGGGCGCGTGCAGAGCGCTGCTGAAGTTAGACAAGCGGGTGGCACGAGGGAGACCCGGGCTCTCCGTTCTTTGGCGCTCCCCCAGCTTTCCAGATCGGCTTTTAATGTTATTGATCTGTTTCACACACACACCCCCAAAATCAAAAGTCTACAGGACGAGACGCGTTTGAATATTAATAGCTCGGTGGTTGGGCTGTTGGTTTGATCCCCGAGCTTGGCGTCTGCAGCCAAATCGCCCAGCTCGTAGACCAAACCAAGAGCCCAACTAACTATACCAGGGGTCTTCCAACTTGGCAACTTTAAGACTTGTGGACTTCAACTCCCAGAATTCCTCAGCCAGGCCTGGGAGTTGAAATCCACAAGTCTTAAAGTTGCCAAGTTTGAAGACCCCTGAACTATACAGTATATTTCATAGGATTTTAGCGCAACGAGTGACTTCAACTTGGCCACTTTAAGACTTGTGGACTTCAACTCCCAGAATTCCTGGGAGTTGATCATTTTTCCAGATACATGAATATAAGGTTGCAGGAATGTCATCCATTGCTATTAAATTATCTTAACGGTTCAAAGAGGCCACAGCCCTAATCCTAAGAGGTGCTAAGATAAGATTTCCCTAACAATTATTCCTTTCTCTGTCTACTCAACCACTTATCTGGTCTCCAGGAACTGACTGGGACGCTGCACATCCTCTCCATGACCTGTTTTCCTTGTTACCTTCTGGGGGGTGGGGCTCAGACCAGATGCTTGGACCCCCAAGAAAGCTGGTGCCATCGAGATGTCATGTTATCACACAAATTATGTAGTTTGCATCATCGATGGAATGTGCTCTTATGACACACTTCATTCATCTGTTTGATTTTTTTTTATTCTGCCTTTATTACTATAGTTCAGGATGGCGGACATGCCTAATCTTCCTTCTCCTGTTTTCCCCACAACAGGGCTGGGCTGAGAGAGATGGATTGGCCCAAATTTACCCAGCTGGCTTTCATGCCTAAGGGAGGACTAGAACTCACTGCCTCCTGATTTCTAGACCAGCACCTTAACCCGTGGACCAAACGCCATCATGGCTACTGATACAAGTCTTTTCTTTGTGTGAGCTGCCCTGTAACCGTCATTCTCTCGGTTAGATAGATTGCAAGCATAAGCTACAAGTAAAAAGGTTGAGGGATGCTGATTCAAGCTGAAAGAAATAGAACCACTTCTATGTTTCCAGCAGAAAAGTTGGAAAAAGTTAGAGGCAAATCCAAGGGTGTCTGCAGGATATGGTCAAAAAAGGAAAAGATAGCAGCCCCAACGGTATCTTGGAAAGCTTTTGGACCAATTCTATATTGCCACAAAAAAGAAAAAAAAGTCATACAGTGTCCCTTATCAGGAAGTGAACACGAGAGGATATTTATTTATCCATCACATCTAGAGAGCACCGTTGGGAAAGATGTTGGAAGAAGAGCCTGATGAATCTGCATTTCTGGTTCGTTATTAACCATGAGAACTACAGGCTATTAATTATCTCCTTGACTGCATAGTAATTAATAGTTAATTGTCACTGGCGCATCTCAGCACCTGCTTTGGACTTGTCTTAGCTAGGAGAGAAGGAATTTCTGAAAATACGGTGTAGAAAGAACAAAGGAAAGGAGTTTGGAGTGTAACCATAGCTAAAATACGAGGGCAATTCGTAAATAAACCTCCCCTTGGTTATCAATGACAGACACTCTCAGATACAGAACTTCTATTATACACGTTAGAAAACTACAACATGACATGACTTTTGATATCATCGCCATTTCAGTTGAGGCCCTTGTCATAACGTCTTACATTGGGTCTGAAATTCCTTAGTAGTTGTCGCTTGGTGCCAAATCTGGGCTATAGGGGTGTGTGTGATCAAAAACATCCCAACAGAACTGCTTCAAAAGTTCTTGGGTGCGTCTAGCGGTGTGCGGGCGAGCGTTATCGTGAACCAACACCACACTGGAAGTGGTGCCATAGAAAATCTCACCAAATGTGAAGATGCCAAAGGAGTAACTCCTAGTGGAGTTCATGGAGTGTGGTTTGACCAGCAGTTCAGAAGTCTACTGTGAAACGTTACGAAAACTCAGACGAGCAATCTGTAACAAGCGTTGGGGCAGGCTGACTTCCGGTGCGATGTTGGTTCATGATAATGCTCGCCCGCACACTGCTAGACGCACCCAAGAATACCCAAGACTAAATTCTTCCCTTCCCTTCCCTTGGCAGGTGGAAACATTTCTATGCAAAGCATTATGTTTTAACCAGTCACCCTTCATATTTTCTAAAATACCAATGAGACATCATTCTAAATTTGAGCTAAAACCTTGTTTTGAAGAATAACAGCCTTTTTTGTATATTAATAATAAAAAACAGCCTTAGGGTTTCAAGGAGAAACATCATGAACCATGATTTTTCTTGTCTGATCTGCCAATGAAGTTTATTAAGTAATTAAAACCGCATTGGCAAATCTTCATACCAAAAATCAATTTTCTGATTGAAGTTTACATTCTGTAAACAGATCCAATGGATGACTCACTTATTTGGGGCATGAAAACAATACTCCTTATATCTGGATCCCATCCTAATCTAGAGGTTATGGGATCCAGAAGAAGAAAAATCAGGGTTGTCTTCATTCTCAAAAGGTACCAACTAAATACCCTATGATCAGTGATGTCGAGACTTTGGAAAGAGTTCAAAGAAAAGCAACAAAAATGATTAGGGACCTAGAAGCTAAAACATACAAAATGATTGCAGGAATTGGGTATACCAAATCTAGTGAAAAGAAGGACCAAGGCTGACATGATAGCAGTCTTTCAATACTTGAAGGGCTATCACAAAGAAGAGGGGGGTCAACCTATTCTCCAAAGCACCAGAGAGCAGGACAAGAAACAATGGATGGAGACTAACCAAGGAGAAAAACAACCTAGAACTAAGGAGAAATTTCCTAACAGTGAGAACAATTAATCAGGGAACAACTCGCCTTCAGAAGTTGTGGGTGCCCCATCATTGGAGGCTTTTAAGAAGAGACTAGACAGCCATTTATCAGAAATAGTACAGGTCTCCTGCGACAGCAGGGGGTTGGACTAGATGACCTCCAAGATCCCTTCCAACTCTGTTACTGTTATTGTTACAGTGTCAGTTTTGACTATTGAGTGCAATAGAAGCAACATACATCTATACTTAAATAATGACCCCAATCTACAGATCTAAGACATTTCGCTTCTCATTCAAGAAGCTTCTTTAGAATTCTGGGAATGGAAGTCCACATATCTTAAATTGCCAAGGTTGAAAAACACTGCTATAGGGATTGTGCTGTGCATTAAGAAATGTTTGATCTGAATCTTGCCCCACTATGAACTTTTTCGCAGGCTTCAAGGAGCAGATCTGTATAATTTGGGCTGTAAAACCAGACAGTCCCTAAACAGCCCCAAAGAGGTCCTGTTTTTTCCTCTGTTGCCATCTCACAATCATCCTGAGTCCTTGTCAAGCAAGCTCTTTTCTTTCGGCCTCCACCTATCCATCTACAAAAATAGTGACTTCCTTTGTATAGTCCTATGTGCAAGATGTTGGTATAAACACCTTTTCTAGGTGTTGTGCAATGACTCAAAGGCAACACAATAAAAACACAGAGATCTAGAAACATGATAGTACAAAAGAGAGAATGACAAATGCCAATGCTTTCATTTAAGACACAGCTTTATTTGAAAGGCTGGGTTAACCTCAGGAAACGTGCCAGGAACTGGGCACCAAAGAGGAAAGGGTTTAACAGCAATATCACTTAGACTTATATACCACTTCATAGTGCTTTTCAGCACTCTCTGGGCCATTTACAACGTCAGCCTATTGTCCCCAACAATCTGGGTCCTCATTTTACCGACCTCGGAAGGATGGAAGGCTGAGTCAGACATGAGCCAGTCAGGATCAAACTTCTGGCAGTGGGCAGAATTAGCCTGCAGTATTGCATTCCTGATTGGATTTGGACATCAAGTAAACTGCAATAAGATCCAGTTCAGGTGTAACGGGCTTTCTCAAACATCCAGATCTATTGGACTTCAGTTCCCAGAATTAGCTCCGAGGAAGCACAGATTGGGGAAGGTTGATGTGAAGTCTAAGATACATAATAAATATGCTGGCTGGGGAATTCTGGGAGGTGAAGTCCCCATATCTTAAAGTTGCCATAGTTGAGAAACAATGCTTCAGAAGACGTCACCATGAACCACGCTAAAAAAGACTGCACGGGAACATCTGACAGCTAGAAGCTTCCGCCCCTGAACAGGTGGCGGAACAGCAACAACTTGGAGTGTCTTTCTTCTGGATAATGAGATGAGAGAACTTGGGGACTTCCAGAGCAGACATGGTCAAGATGTCTGAAGTTATCTCCTTGATGTTACAGTCAGGGCGTTTCACTTTAGAAAGCCGTTCCACCTCAAGTCATAGCTTGGAGGCATCTATAGATCTTTCGTCTTCTCACCAAGGTCATCAACCAGCAGAAGAAAGTTTGGCTAGGGCCTCCAGTAACGATCAGAACTGTAATAAGCAACTCTGTGTTTGGGCCTGTCTGAAAGATCAAAGGGCCTTTTTTCCCTTTGATCTCAGCCGGTAACTCTCGT